GCTGTCAGCACAGAGCCCGATGTGGGGCTCGACCTCACAAATCCTGAGATCAGGACCTGAGCCGAAGTCGGAGGCTTAACCGACTGAGCCACCCAGGTGCCCCCAGAGCTGTCTTATTTAAGGGCCTGTGTTCTTCCTGAGCACCGGAGTGGGGAGAGGCCTGGAACGCTGTGGCTTCGGGCACGCAGACAACTCCGAGGTACACTTGAACCAGGGTGAGGTTGGGAGGGGGGGATGCTTGGCGGCCAGAATGTTTATCCAGCCAAGCAACTTCACCCCTAGGCGCGCCCACAGTGTTAACTGTTTATCTTAAAGCCCTTGCGATGAGGGCCTGGTTCTGGCCTGAGTGCAGGGAGCCTCTTGGGGAGCTTGGCCATATAGACTTGTATTGGGTCTGTGAGGCTCGGCAGGATGGGAACGGCCGGATACCCCTCTGACGAACCGCCCTGAAGGTTCCTTAATCATGAGGCTGGGGAGGGCTGCCCTCCCACCTCATGGCACTGGTGGTCACTCTGGGCCTTTTCTTGACACTCTGTCCTTTCCTTCTCCCCGCTCTAGAGAATGCATGTCTAAATCCCAGTTTGGTCAGAGGGTAGTGAGCGTGTTGTGCAGGGGATGCTAGAGTCAGGCTGTGAGGACAAGGAGGTTGGTTTGGGCCAGTTTCTGAGAGCAGTGTCCCGGCTGGCTCTTCCCTGTAGGAGCCGTGTACCCTCAGGAGCCTGAGTATACTCTGGGATGTATTTGGTGCTTCTTAGGAGGACCGGCCCACATTTCAGGTGGGAGGTGGCCTGTGGGTAGCGGCTGGCTGAAGAACGGGGAGAAGGAGCCCTGGGACAAGGAGGCCTGCCCAGAATCCCCCAGAGAGGAAGTGATAGTTCCGGGGCTTGGACCGAAGCTTCCCAAAGATTCTTAGGCGATTGTTTTCACGTGGTCGTCTTCCTACCTCTCCTCTCCTCTTCTCTTGATTCCTAAAAGATGAGAACGAGAACTTTCACACCTTCTGGGGGCAGTGGAAGAGGTGGAAACATTTTGAAGAGGGGGAATTGTAAAACAGGATGCAAATTAAACTAAACTGCGGTTACAGAGACGCAAAAATCCGTTGGCTTCAGTCAGTTGTCAGATAGTTTCCGTGGAAAACAGTAGTCCAAAGCCGTCCTGAATGTTCAGTTTGCACCTCTGAACTCAAGGTGGTTGCTCCAGCTCCTTCCATCACGTCTGCATCCCATTCTTCAGGAAGGGAGAAAAGGACAGAGGGCTCATACACCTCTTCATGGTCATTTCTGCCTCAAGAGAGGCTGGGGGGTGCACTCTCAAGCTGTGGGGCCCTGAAATCAGCTAAAGCCAAACAGTTCTGTTATTAAAGGAAGAGTTCCAGTTAGCAGTCTTTGCTGCAGATGTCCATGTTCACCAAAGGGCTTTAACTGGACGGTGGAAAACAGCAGAGAACGGAGGGAAGAGCTGCTTCATTTTAGGGAACGTGGAAGACCTAAGCGAGGGGAGGCGGTGTGTGACACGTCATAGGCTGCCGTAGAGCAGGGGCCAGCAAAGTTTTTCTGAAGGGTCAGAATTAATATTTTTGGCTTTGCAGGCCTGTGGTCTGTGGCCTGACAGCTGAACTTTGCTATTGGAGACAAAAGCCACCATAGACCGTACCGAGGAGCGTGGCTGCATTCCAATAAAACTATTTTGAGAAAGTGAGAGAGAGAGAGAGCAGGGGAGGGGCAGAGAGAGAGAGAATCC